AAGCATCGAAAGCAATCAGAACTAAATGTTAAAGTACATAATGCAGTACTATAGCACTTTACATGAAATACGAAGATAACTAACAGTTATCAAGCTAAAATTCCATTGAAACAATATAAATTGGGAGCAGAGCAGATACGGACTTTTAAAAACAGCTGAGGTGGGATCAGGTGCCATGGAGGAATAAGCATCCATCCCCTGTCGATCGGTCACATCCGTAGTGTGCTCCTTGTCATGATCAGGCAAAGTCAAAAATCAGTATATTTCATATACATGTTAATATTTCAAAAACAAAACAGCAATTATATTGAATACATGTAAAATATCAATATGGTTATCCAACATTTTTGCTCTCTTCTCTTAATGTGACGGATTTATTCAAGGCACATTTTACTTTATTTTTATATTATTCATCATATCATTAAACATTCTCTTGGACACTTTAGAAAACATTTTTTTTTATTTTATCCCTCAATTATAACAAGATCTTTACATGCACATGCCTATCACAAGATATTTAAGGTGAACAAAGTACAAACCACTGTAATTTGATTGGATGACTGCGAACAGGAAGACTAAGAATTATCATTGACATAACTGAACTGATTTGAATGCATAACCTATATACAACAGTACATTATGAACTGTATATCATAAGATATCATAAATATCTATTTTCTGCAACAATTAAATATGTAATCATATTTAAATAGTAAATGAAAAAAAGTATATCTAAGAAACGTGTTTGGTGTTCCATTCTTTTTTTTAAAGAATGAGTGGATTTAACATCCTATTTCAGGTCTTTGTTTATTTGCGATTCTTCTACCAAAGCTGTAATTGAAGTGAATCCAAAATATTTTACAAGTAGCAAGATCTACATATAAATGATTATATTAGGTAGAACATCTGTATAAATGCAATGCCTTGGTGACATGAATCAAGTGTCGCCGTCCGGAATTTGACATTTTGACATCCCCTGGTCAGTATTAATAGAAGGCGGAATTTTCGATCAGCGTCATATTAAACCATGTGTTTTTGTAAAACGAAGTATATGCAGGTATGTCGGGTCTCTTAAAAGCACATTTTTTGTTCAATATACATAAACGATAAGAAAGCGTTACACTGATTTTATTACCTATTACCGTTATATTACCTATTGATATTCAAGAAATCTTCGGGTCCCTTATCTGAGATGTATATTTAGGATTCCTTGAAAAGAGTGTTTTATATTCACACACACACACACACACCCTCACACACACACACACACACACATATATATATATATATATATATATATATATATATATATATATATATATATATATATATATATATATATATATATATATATATATATATATATATATATATATATATATATATATATATATATATATATATATACATGTATATATACATGTATATATAAAATAAATAGTTAAGATATAGGTGATATATATTGTGAAAAGAGAGAAAAATTTTATGACAATTCAATTTACGACTTTTTGCAGGAATCTTAAAACAAAGTCCACTCATTCTTTCGCATTATTTCAGCATGTAAATCTTATACGGTACCAGATTTGATGCACCAGATGCTCATTTCGACAAATTATGTCTCTTCAGTGATGCTCATGCCAAATGTTGGAAATAAGAAAAAAAAAATTAAAAAGTTTAAGAGCCCTCTATACACTGCACACTAGAGAGTTCTGATTTTGTGGTATTTTTCTGCAGATAGAGTTATCTGCCCTTTGATCAAGAATAAAATAAATTGAAATGTACAGTTTATTACTTAATTTGTGATCAAATCAAGCATTCATAACACCTTAATAGGCCAAGATGAATAGATAGAACACTTCATTTGCAGGTATTTCGCCCACTTTAGTAAATAACAGTGAATTATGTTCATCAGTACTTCATTGACTTTGAACATTTTTCCTGGGGGTAAATGCAAGGCAACCTATGTTAAAAATGTGATAGATAAGCTCAATACTTACACCTTTACACACTATAATTTTTTAATGTCCAAAAAATATTTTCCTCTAGTGTATAGAGTGTCCTTAAGAGCTGAAAGGGGGGTGCAAAAGACTGGAGCCAAATACGTCGATGGATCAGAGCTTTGCATGGGGGAGTTAATCTTTAATTTTGAAATAAATTTCTAAATTATACCACAGCAATTAAAACTATTTCTGTATTTTCAGCCTAACGAACGAGGTACAGAAATGTGAATGCTATTTATTATGGATTCAGCAATATATGCCTTGATGTTATAATTCTTTTTACTCAAATCCTAGAGGTGAATATATCTTATGACGAAAGCATACAGATCGCGTACCACAGTGGTTAAGTACAAACACAAATGGACTTTCAAAATGGATCAATATTGTATGAAAAGGAATTATAAAGTGTAAATTACCGATAAGTTTTGTCAAAACCATTTATTATTTAGATTAAGTATAAATTTGGGACAAAGGAAGGGAAATAATAAGTTCACCTAGGCTCCACATGTTTAATACAGCTTGAAAAATACTTGCGTTTATTAATCGACGAAACGCGGAAGGTCTTTGAATTATAATTATTTTACAACTACAGAACAAATTATAAAGCTGTGATTATGTTCTAATACAGGGTTTCCAATACAATGTTAATTTAACCACTATATACTGTATTATGCGCAAATATTTACAGCATATACTGAACTGTAGAGGCATTAGTGCAAATAACAACAGACAGGTTATATATTCTAAGCTAAAACAAGCATTTACTTGAATAAAATATGGAGCTAATGAACAGTAATCAAGCTCAAAAGTCCATTGAAACAATACAAGCAAACATGGACCTCTAAAAACATCAGAAGTGGGATCAGGTGCCATGGAGGAGTAAGCATTCGCCCGGTGTTCATTGTCATGATCGGGAAATAACGGAAGAATCTGTAAACAATTCAGTGTCTTAATAATTGCCAAACATTTAGTATAAAAAATGTCAGTCATCATTAGATTTAATGATAGATTGCATTTCCTGACCAAATCAAACTGTAATTATGCATACAAGCCAATTACTCTAACTGTAAACCAAATGTATAAAAGCCAATCTATTAATGCTGTAAACCAAATCATTCAGTTATAATGTATACAAGTCAATCTACTAAAACTGTAAACAAATCATCCACTAGCAATGTATACAGGCCAGTCTATTTAAACTGTAAACACGAATCAACAAGTATCAATGTATACTAGCTAATCCACTTAAACTGTAAACCAAATCAACAGTAACAATGTCTACAAGCCGCCAGCCTAATAAAACTGTAAACTAAATCAATCAGTAACAATGTATAAAAATTGTAAACAAATCAACCGGTAACAATGTACGAGGGATTGATCAAAAAATTCGCGAACTAATTGAATTACTTTCATAAAAAAATGAAGGTCTCAGTGTTCATTATTTTTTAAAGTAGTCCTCTCCAATCTTAATGCACATCTGCCACCGTTCTGTCCATGCGCGAATCACGTGACCCAGAAGGTCACGTGACATGCTCCGTAGCGTTCTGTTCATAGAAGCTGAAAGATTTTTCCGAATCTTATATTTCTTACGATGCAAATTATATTTTATAACAAGATTAGCCCATTTGTCAAAAATGGCCAAATCTTGGCAATAGGATGGGTGGATAATGATATCCTTCCCCAGAATGAGCATGGTGACCATCACAATCCGAGTCCTCTGTCTTGGGAGCATCGTGTATCCAATGTGGATAAAGTATGGGCACCTTTTTTTTAATCATATTTGATATATTTAGTCTAAAGTAAACAATATTTAAGAGATTTAAAAATATATTATTGTTATGATATTCAACTATTTTTCTCACTGTAACTTGGCGATCTTTCATGACAAATTGCTCAACTAAGGACCCATTTCTTTCCCAGCTTGCTCGAATACGACTGAGTCAACTATTTATTGTCAAAAGTCAAAAACATATTGTCATTTTCGCATTGCGACGTCACAAACATGGAACAAAACATCACATTACACCTGCTCTTTATAGAACATGAGTATGACTATATGTTTGCCGAATTTCATTCTGATCTGAATCGTGGTTTTGTAAATATAGAGATAGTTCACGAACTTTCTGATCACCTCTCGTATACAAGCCAATCTACTTAAACTGTAAACAAAACATCTAGTAGCAAAGTATACCCGTAACAATTTATACGAACCAATCAGCATTAAAAACATGCATGTGGTAGTGCGTGTTATAGATAACCTAAAATACTTTGATCGATCAGCAAGAAATGGGTTTATTTGATATTTATATTAAAGCAAACTTTTAATGATAAACACAACTGTCATCCTTTCTTAAGCGAGAAGATTAAAATTAAGGTAAGATTCGTTCAATATTTTTCAAAGACTCGTAAAGGTTTAATAATGTCTATTTTCTTTCTCTGAATTAAAACCAGCGAGATTGCTTATTCCACGTATTGATACAAAAAGAAAACTATCGTAGTATATTTGTCAATCCTACGTATATTGAGATATTGGTTTTTGTCAAATCGGTCAAAATCTGCAAACCAATTAGTCTATCCATTCATGTATCACTTTATAAGATCTAAACTCCTTAATTAATAAAGCCTAATGATTTTAACAGCGTGAAATTTAAGCATAATGCTGTAATTTCGTTGATAGAAGAGGAGCACATTCTATACTACTTTATAAGATTTGATTTGATAAGGTTTGATAAGATTTGATTTGATAAGATAAGACTTGGCCTAGTTCAATTTTTTTTTCATAATGTAAGAGGTGAAGATGACGATCCAGTAAGCAATTCATTGAACAGAAAAAAATGACAAACCACCCGATTCCTAAAACCTATCTAAGACGGTTCAGTGAGCGTTTGTCATGTCCATTAAACTTTCAGTGTTTCTGATAATCTGGTGTCTTCAGTGAAAAATATCTAAAACAATACACTTTTAGCCAATTGTACTGACTTGGTTGATATATTTTCAGATATGAAAGAGGATGCTCAGGATTTTGTCAATTGCGAAGCCTGCAATAATCCAGCTGAATACTGGTACTATTGCAATGTATGTCATCGAAAGTTCTGTCAAGGAAACGAATGTCTCCAATCGCATCAAGGGGAAGGACATAATGTAGTTCGATTTGAAAACAGAAACGAAAATAGACAGAAACAGATTGTTTACGAATTATGCCTCACACACCCTGATAAAATTCTCAATAATTTCTGCAAGTCATGCAGTCAAAGAGTCTGTGATAGATGCATTCTACTGAACCACAGAGATATGAAAAAACACGACGTTGTAGGATTGAACGAAATCGTTGCTGAAAGGCGTAAGATACTTGACAAAAATACCAATATTCTAAAACTTAATGTTCTCCCGAAATATGTAAAAGAAATTCAAGATTTAGGAGAAGAAATTTTTAATTCAGAAGAAACTTATAAAGTGAAAAGGAACATAATTCATAATCAGCATGAGTTTTGGAAAAATGAAATTAAAAAAATAATAGATCAAATCTTGGCAGATCTAACAGATTTGGAATTCGTGCATTTAAAACGGTTAAAGGATCAACAAAATAGCCTTAAAGAAACTTTAATTCAAATAGGGGATATTGTTCAAGCAAACGAAGAACTCTTACAATCACCATCCGAATTAGCTGTTCACGAAGTACGAAGCATCGAAAATTATCTTGAGTTTCCTGAAATAACCAAGTTTAGTCCACCAGTTTTTACGGTGGGACAACTTACTGTATTGTTAAATGATATTTATACAAAAGGGAAAATTAACTATTCCCCTACATATAGCATAACTGAAGAAGAACTTTATACAAAATCGTGCATTGTCATTGCAAAGCTAAGTGGACTGACAGAAAAAATTCAAAAGAAAGAAAAAATACTAACTGGCGTAAAACGTGAAATGAATCTTTTAGCTTCTATGGAGGTAGAAAATCATAATAAAATCGATGACATATCTTGTCAATTTTTTGAAGCCGCGTGGTTGTGTGATAAAGCTGCAAGGAAAATCTCAAAACTTTCAGAAAGTGGAAAACTATTGATAGAAAAGGAAGTGAAAAATTTAGGGTATATAGCATCGCAAGACAATGACAAAATCTTTTATTCAAGTGAAGATAATAAGCTGATGGAATTTACGGAGAATCTTTCCCGGGTTGTGTCTAACTTTGAATGGATCCCTTTTGGTCTTTCGGTTACAGAGGCGAAAGATATATTGGTTTGTGAACGTAGCGAATCAAGAGGAAGGGTGGTCAAATATAGCAGTAAGGGTCATCTGCTGAAGATAATCGAACAATGCAAAAAAGGGGAACAACTGTTCCAGGCACCAGAGCGAGTTATAGAAAACAGCAACGGCGATGTGTGCGTGACAGACAATTGCATTCCAGCATCTCTTGTAGTTGTTAATAATTTAGGGGAATTCCAATTCAGGTACCCACCTGAAGAGAATCAGACGTCTTCTTCCTTTACATGGTCATTGGTAAGAAGGGAAAAGAAACCGTCTTCATTTAATGGACTTGCAAGCGATATTTTTGGGAATATCCTTATTTCTGGCACGGAAACGAAAGTTATCTATATACTGGACAAATGGGGAAAATTCCTCCAATCTTTGTCCAGCAAGCAAATACAGAGCCCACATGCCCTAGCTGTTGATCATTTACAAAGATTGTGGATTGTCGATGGAGAAAATCAAATTAAGATAGTAGCCTATTTAAACTGTTTTTCTTAGATTTTATCTATTCATGCAAAATTAAAACGAAAGCAAACTATGATCACTTACGCCTGCCGAAGTTTTTACTTAATTCTGCATGTAATGATTAGCTTTTTTCTGTTTTTTAACTTGATTGTTCGTTTATTTTTTAATTTGTATTATTTCCCATTGTTGTTTATTTGATTTTTCTTCTTATTTTTTTGTTTAAATGTGTATATGGGCATAAAAAAATTAATGGAGATATAATAGTGAAATTTTGGATATATTTTTACAAAATAAAAATTTCAACAGATGTAACACGCCTTCAAACTAGTAGATTTTGAAAAAAAAAAAATTCTGCTGTTCTCTTATTATATTTTCGCCTTTTCTTTCAAATTCAAAACATTTAGTTATTGTCAAGAAACTTAAATTAAAATTAGAACCGCAATCATAATCATAATTATCATCATAATTTCTATAATAATATTTGATTTTTATATCATATACCAGGGAAGATGTGAATTACTAATTCTCACATTTAAAATGCCACTATGTTATATTCTATAAAGAGCTAGGTTCACTTTATGCATAAAATGGCCCTGTAGATATACCAATTTATTGACTTACGCTTTTTGTTCCATTTTAAACATGAAGATTAAGTAGAGACTTAGTGCTTTCATTTCCTATTAAAAATTTTCTCCTTAAAGCCAAGGTTTTGGAAAACAGGCTTCATGAAATTGAAATGTTCTTGAATTTTAAGGAAAACAAGTATATTTGAGTACATTCACAGAAGAGAAATAATATGAGCGCAGCCTCTCATCTAAAAAATAAAACATGTTTTGCAATCCTCAGAAATAGTTCTATCATTTAATAGTTGCATATTTTAGATCAGAGGTTGCGCTCTATATTAAATTTCGAAAAATAGCTTTAAAAATTGGCTGTTTTTGTAGAATTTTTCAGGATATGAGGAAAATGACGCATTTCATGACGTCATAATGCATTGGCTACCCAGAAAATTGCGTCATTTTTGATAGATTCGCAGTCATCAAAGATCTAAATGATATTTAATGCATTGTCAACTAAAACCAAGCAGTTTCAGTTTTGCTGAAATTCACAGGGCCGAAAAAGGCCCTAAGTGAACCTTGCTCTTTGAAGAGTTATTTTAAAGAAGAAGGACGCATTTGATTAGGATTTCGCAGGAATCTGGACGTACCTGAAAAGTGATAATTTCATTTATTCGTCACATGCACTTGCATGTGATGTTTAGCATGCTATAGGGTTCATGTGATATAGAAAAGGAAAATATTTTCCCGAAATTGTTATTCAATTTGCTAAAACATGCCTTGAAATATGGCTGGATGAGTCATTTGAAAATGTTTCATTTTTAAAGACAAATTTCTATAAATTTACTATCTGAGGATCATCTCTTCACATAATGTTTGTGAGAATTCTAATTCAAAGGAACAAGTAAACATTTGTTTAAAAAAGTAAAACAAAAATTTAGAGAGAACTCAGAGAAATAAATATTGAACCTTGTTCCAAAAATATCACATTGAGGATATAGTCTTATGTTGGAAACGGAGGAGAGAGAGAGAGAGAGAGAAGGAGGAGGGTTACATTCAAAAGAATAAAATGAAAAAAAAAATATCACATCGTGTAAAAATCTGCTTCACTGCAGTTTTAAAATCCAGTTTTGGTACGTTGCGAAAATAGCTCAGTGCTATTATAAAAATTATAAACATGGGTGTCGTGTTTTTGTTGTTCTTTTAAATCTCAATACAGTCACCATGTTGTAAAAGTTGTCACCTGAATATCCTCTTATGCCCTTTCCAAATACCAAATATTGAATTCCACGGAAATCACAAGGTATTTGGAGAAAAAAATATATTTTATGGTGAAAGTCAACATATTACCGATGATTACTGTTTGTCAAAAAATAATCTGATTGTTCACACAAGTACTCTGAAGTTGACATTAAAAAGGTGCTCGAGTTTCTGATTGACAATATTTATGTCGCTTTTGGAGACCAGGGTTTCCAACAATCTCTTGGAATTTCCATGGGTACCAATTGCGCATCGTTATTAGAAGACATATTTTTGAATTCATATGAAGCAGAATTTGTTCAAAATCTTTTACGAGAAAAGAAAAAAAAAACACTCGCTGTGGCCTTAATCTCGACATTTAGATATATCGACGACGTATTGTCAATAAACAATGGTTATTTCCATTCTTATGTTGACACGATATATCCCGTTGAGCTTGAGATAAAAGATACCACAGAGTCTGACACATCTGTTTCATATTTGGATACATTATTAGAAAAAGACGTTAATGGTTATCTAACAACAAAGCTTTATGATGCACGTGATGACTTTAACTTTTCAATCGTCAAATTCCCTTATCTATGCAGCAATATGCCCTTATCACCTGCATACTGAGTTTCTATCTCTCAGTTGATTCGATACTTTAGAGCCCGCTCTACGTATGAACAATTTCTAAAACGAGGTAAGTTATTGACAAACAAATTGATGAAACAAGAATATCAATAGTCTCGTTTAAAGTAATCATATCGCAAATTCTATGGTTAATACAATGACCTAGTCAGCAAATACGATCTATCATTAAGTCAACTGCTGACTGACTTTTTTCATAATAATTGCTAGGCCATTATTTACACACTGAATTGTCGACAGATTTTTCCGTTATTTCCCGATCATGACAAGGAGCACACGGTGGGTGTGACCGGTCGGCAGGGGATGCTCACTCCTCCATGGCACCTGATCCTACTTCTAATGTCTTAGAGGTCCGTGTTTGCTCTGCTCCTATTTTGTAAAGTTTAATGGACTTTAGAGCTCGAATACTGTTCGTTATCTCCACATATTTCATTGTGAGGAAATTTTAAGCACCGATTTTACGTTCTTCCGTAAAGTCTACCTAAGTAGAGATCAATACTTTACCGCTTGTCAATCATACTGCAAGCAATAGCTACTGCTTTGATTGACAGAACAGCTATCTGTGCTTCCCGATTTTCTGAGATTGGATGTTTCTTTAACAATTATCTGAACAGACAGCAAGATTTTTATGTCCGGAATGATTTGTCGCTTAGGTACACAGAAACTCAATTCGCTGTAATTCTGAACAATTTACCCCCCCCCCCCCCCCCCTTCAAAATAAAATATTGAAACAAAAAAAAATAGAATAAATGAGAAAAGATCATTTAACACTGACAGAATGAATTACCGCTGGGTCTGAAAATTATGAAAGATTCTTTTTAATATCATATTATTTTTTTTTTTGTGAGTACAGATCATCTATAAAGAAAAACACACAAAGTGTAATTAAAGTATGTTGGCCTAGATATTTCTAAGGATTATCTTTTAATTGCTTTTCTCGGGGCGTCAGTAAATACATTTTTAAAGAAAAATCGATTTCAACAAATTAATGAAACAATCTACATCATGCAATGGAAGAAATATCAGTCATAGCTCGATTTTCTTCCATTGTCTTTATCCGTAAATGAACATTTTGGAGCACCATTGCTGGCTAGAGAAATAAATAATTTTTCGATGGTAAACGTTCACATGATCAATATTTACACTTACCTTAAAATTGTCTTTTTTTTTACTGCATGACAATTAAAATTTATTGATATAAGTGCTCTGTTGTTACACTAGAATTTTTTTTATACATTTCTTAATGATGTTCTTTACGACTGGTTTTTTTATTCATAAGATATCGATGAAAATGAAGCGACCATTTTTATTAAAGCATATGAATTATTTGGTTCTACTCAAAATAAAACGTCAATTGTCACATTGGACTAGGATGATAAGCATTTATATATAATTGAATCATGACGAGTTTGCTCTGAGTTGCAGATAAGTCACTGAGGAAAAAACTCTTATCTAGCCAATGAACAGCTATTATATGTATTGATTATATAAGTGTGTGTAGAATATGCTAGCATGAAATTCCTGATATTAAATATAAAATAGTTTAAAATATGTCCGGCTTAAAAGGAATACTTTTCAATTGGAATCGAACACCTCACATAAAGACCACTTGTCAAGTAGACAGTTACTTCCCTACAGTTGACGGTATTCGGGCATGCGCAGGAGTACTTACAGAGAGAGAAACTTGAAGTTCCCTTATAATGGAGTAGTAAACAGAACTGAATTGGCTTTGCAATATACATTTTGGACTAGTAGCTGAATCAAACTATTTAGCGGCGTTGCTTGGTCAAACTCTGTTGGTCTGAGATGGCATTGTTAAGTCCTCAAGCTCTAATTCCTGCATCGCATAGTCAATTGCAAACGGCCTTGTTAGATATTCCTACCAGTACTGGGTTAGTTCATACTGTAGATGACGTCACTGTGAAACGTCGATGAAATTACGCTAACCACTGACGCGATACTTTTTGCTGATATCACGCGTGGTCTGCCGTATTTTAAGCAATAATGTATTGTACCATGCTGTTGATATCTGTTTATAGGATAGGATAGATCTGGTTATTTGTGCGACATTGAAAACTCTTGCAATTGTAGACGAATGGTACACGTACTTCCAGTCGCCCAATTTCCTTTTTGCGATATGCAACATTCAGATGCAGCATTTTTAAATGGAGTCAATTTTTAGGGGGGAAACATAATCAAAATATTGAGAACCCCATCTTTTGATAGCCCTTTGTAACTGAAGGATGTGGAAAGTTCACAATAGCTTTAAAAATGCATTTTACTTGAATGAATCAAAGCTATCTAAAAGAAATTCAAAACTATTTTATAGCATTCAGGGTTTTATTCCTTTTTTCTATGTTTTTTTTTTTTTTTTTTTTTTTTTTTTTTTTTTTTTTTTTTTTTTTTTGAACACTATATTTTTTAAAAAGTATTTCATGGCTTATTGTTTTAGTCGAATAACAGAAATCCTTTATACACATGTATGAACACCTAAATGTATATTTCACTTAAAGAATTTTAATTCTGATATTGATTGCGTATGCTAGGATTCCAGAGGTTGCGAATGACTTAGATTTTTCGGATTAA